GAATTCCTCTGTTTTTCAAGAAGGTATTTTGCTCAGTTTTTCTCTCTTGGGTTGTTAGCTGTGAAACAGGAAGGTTGCGATGGAGATTGCGAGTGCCAGTTCTTCTGGAAAGTTCCCCGTCAGCATTTCTCAGATCCTCCCGTATCCTCGGACGCCACTTTATCTCAGATTCTCCTGACCCGCCGGCCCACGCTCGGCTCCGTTACGAAGGCTTTTCCACAAAACAAAGGCGGAGGCCAGAAGTGCTCTGCTTTCTTTTACACCACCTCAATGTGTGTGTGTGTGTTTGTGTGTGTGTTTTAGTTAAGCGATCGAGGCCATTTATTGTTGCACTCCTTCAGTGCTTGAAAGATTTACTGTGGAAATGTGGATTAAAACATTGTAATAAATCCGATCACTCAGAGGGAAACATGGTGTTACTATAGTAAATGTCTAAATAAAAACATTGCCATAGTGAATGTCTAAAAACATAGTGTTACTATGGTGAACATCAGAAAAAACATGGCATTACCAGAGTAAACGTCCACAAAATATGGTGTTACCATAGTGAACATCAGAAAAACATGGCATTACTATAGTAAATGTCCACAAAATATGGTGTTACGATGGTAAACATCAGAAAAACATGGCATTACTATAGTAAATGTCCACAAAATATGGTGTTACCATAGTGAACATCAGAAAAACATGGCATTACTATAGTAAATGTCTACAAAATATGGTGTTACCATAGTGAACATCAGAAAAACATGGCATTACCAGAGTAAACGTCCACAAAATATGGTGTTACCATAGTGAACATCAGAAAAACATGGCATTACTATAGTAAATGTCTACAAAATATGGTGTTACGATGGTAAACATCAGAAAAACATGGCATTACTATAGTAAATGTCCACAAAATATGGTGTTACCATAGTGAACATCAGAAAAACATGGCATTACTATAGTAAATGTCCACAAAATATGGTGTTACCATAGTGAACATCAGAAAAACATGGCATTACTATAGTAAATGTCCACAAAATATGGTGTTACCATGGTGAACATCAGGAAAAACATGGCATTACCAAAATAAATGTCCACAAAATATAGTGTTACCATGGTGAACATCAGAAAAACATGGCATTACTATAGTAAATGTCCACAAAATATGGTGTTACCATAGTGAACATCAGAAAAACATGGCATTACTATAGTAAATGTCTACAAAATATGGTGTTACCATGGTAAACATCAGAATAAACATGGCATACCGTAGTAAATGCCTAAAAACATGGTGTAACTATGGTAAACATCAGAAAAAACATGGCATTACCATAGTAAATGTCTAAAAACATGGTTTTACTATGGTAAACATAATAAAAAACATAGCATTACCATAGTAAATGTCCACAAAATATGGTGTTACCATGGTGAACATCAGAAAAACATAGCATTACCATAGTAAATGTCCACAAAATATGGTGTTACCATGGTGAACATCAGAAAAACATGGTATTACCATAGTAAATGTCCACAAAATACGGTGTTACCATGGTAAACATCAGAAAAAACATAGCATTACCATAGTAAATGTCCACAAAATATGGTGTTACCATGGTGAACATGAGGAAAAACATGGTATTACCATAGTAAATGTCCACAAAATACGGTGTTACCATGGTGAACATCAGAAAAACATGGCATTACCATAGTAAATGTCCACAAAATATGGTGTTACTATGGTAAACAATAGAAAAACATGGCATTACCATAGTAAATGTCCACAAAATATGGTGTAACTATGGTAAACAATAGAAAAACATGGCATTACCATAGTAAATGTCCACAAAATACAGTGTTACCATGGTGAACATCAGAAAAACATGGCATTACCATAGTAAATGTCCCTAAAATATGGTGTTACTGTGGTGAATGTCCCATAAACATGGTGTTACCATAGTTAAAATACCGAAAACTGTTTTCAAGGTAAACCTTTGAAAAAACACAATTTTGCCATTGTAATATCACCAGAAAGATGAAAAAATGGTGTAATCATAGTAAATAACTTAAAACAATGGAAAGTATGAAAACCTGATAACCTGAAATTCTCAGTGGTACCGTATTTACTTGTATTTGTTTAACTATAGCAAATGTCCAGAAAGAATGACATTATGGCAGTATATGTCCAGAAAGCTGTGCTAATGAGCATCTCATGCGTGTGTGTTTGTGTTTTCAGCTGTTGGCTAAGCTGGAGCAGACCGGGTTACAGACTGAGGGTATTCTGCGGGTTCCAGGATCAGCAGTAAGAGTCAAGGTAAAGAACCCTTCAGTACATAATATTAGCGACCAGAGATTGGAGCTGGTTACAGCTGGAGGGGCATCTGCTGTGTAAACCATATGCTCGATAAGTTGGCGGTTCATTCCACTGCAGTGGCCCCTGATGAATAAGGGACTGAGCTGAAGGGAAATGAATGAGTGAATAATAGAGTGTGTTTTTGCTCGACAGCAACTGCGTCAGGAGCTGGACCTGCACTTCTATGATGATCGCTTCGACTGGGATCAGGTGCACCAGAACGACGCTGCGGCTTTGCTGAAGATGTTCATCCGTGAGCTGCCGTACCCGTTACTGACCAAACTGAACATGCCGGCCTTCACGGCTCTTCAGAGTGAGTCTAAACTGTACAGAAAAACTCAGATCTGGACTCTTTTGCCTAAATATGTAGGTCCCACACTGCAAAAGATGCATTTGTTGTCTTGTTTCTAGTCCAAATATTTCAACATTCTTAAATCAAGAAGCATTATATAGACAAACACAACATGTCCTGTTTTTAGGAATGAATCAAAATGAAGTTTTTCTTTAAAACAAGCAGAATACTCTGACAATGGGGGAAGCAGAGTAATCTAGTTTTTTATTTTTGACAAAACACTATTTATTCCTAGTCATTTCTCCATAGGAAACTCAGTATGACATTCTAAAGCCATAACAAAAAAGCTTTTACTTCTACATCGCAGAATAAGGTCAACAGGTCTCTCCATCACTGCCTGTCCCACGCCACACACTCACCTGTTTATCTGTCTGTCTGTTTATCAGGAATTTCATCTCCCAAATACCAGATTCAGGCTCTTCATCTGCTCATCATGATCCTTCCAGAACCCAACAGAGACACACTGAAGGTCTGTTCATCTCACACACAGCAGGAAAACTCAGCAGATATACATGGCTGTGTATTCAGTGCTGATCATAACTGAGCTGACCCCTCACAGAGCTCTCTGTTACCGTAACATTTTCCACAGGATGCTTCACAGTTAAATATTACAGAATAAATATGTATAAAACAATTAATATACAGTTGACGTCAGAATTATTCGCCCCCTATGAATTTGTATTTTTTAATATATTTTTCAGATGATGATGAACAGATTGAGGAAATGTTCACAGTGTGTCTGATAATGTTTGTTCTTCTGGAGAAAGTCTGATTTGTTTCATTTTGGCTAGAATAAAAGCAGTTTTTAATTTTTTAAACACCATTTTAAGGTCAATATTATTCGCCCCTTTAAGCTATATTTGTTTCTGATAGTCTACAGAACAAACCATCGTTATACAATAACTTACCTAATTACCCTAACCTGCCTAGTTACCCTAATTACCCTAGTGAAGCCTTTAAATGTCACTTTAAGCTGTATAGAAGTGTCTTGAAAAATATCTAGACTAATATTATTTACTGTCATCATGACAAAGAGGAAATAAATCAGTTATTAGAGATGAGTTATTAACACTAGTATGATTAGAAATGTGTTGGAGAAATCTGCTCTCCGCTAAACAGAAATTGGGGGAAAAAAATAAATAATTCAGGGGGGCGAATAATTCTGACTTCAACTGTATATAAATATATAGAGAAAGGAATTGTTCACAGTATTTTCTCTTATATTTGTTCTTCTAAAGAAATGCTTATTTGATTTATTTCAGCTAGAATAAAAGCTGTTTTTAATTGTTTTAAACCCATTTTAAGGTCAATAATATTAGGTACCTTCGAGGGGTCGCGGGACAATGAAAGGGGGTCGCCTGGTGGTTTCCAAAAATCTATTTATTTTTATTAAACCATAAGAATTACCATATTTTATCAATAACCTTCTGAAGAAAAAAAATTGTCGTTTATACCATATATAGTTACTATAGTAGCTTATAGTTACTACTTCTATTGGATTTCAACCCCTGGGGTAATTACATTGTATTAAAGACACAGCAATAGCGTCAGATGCAGCAGATTTCATAACACCTGGTTAAACTTTGTGGCCCATTTCCAGCTCTCTTACATTAAAAAAATTAAAAGAAGAATAGACTTGGGTCCATTGGTGTGTGTGCGCCATTGCATGCAAGGTTTCTGTATTTATAACCACCTCAGAGGATATTGGGGGTCGCGAGTCACTGGCATTGACATTTTGGGGGTCGCGGCCTGGAAAGTTTGGGAACCCCTGCCTTAAGTGATAAGTAACGGATCACAGTTAGTTTTTATTAGGTTTTTTATTAAGTACCTTAAAGCGGTGTAACGGATCACAGATCTCACGTTCGGATCACATAATAGTTTTTTTAGTTTTCATCCCAGCCAAAAACGGTTATTACTAAGGCCAAACAGAATATTGTAAAAAATCTGCAGATTTATGCGGAATTATTTTGGGATTGTTGTAACTAAAAAGTTAATTTATTAAATGGAAAATATTAGCTTTTTAACTTTGATTTAATGTTTACAATGCAAACTATCTAGATCTACTTATTTGGTAAACAAAGCAAGTCTCTCATATGAAATCTCTAATAAAAAACAGAAAATATCACTGCACAAACTGTATTGTCAATAAATCAAATGAACACTGCCATATGAATCAGTAATGTTACTGAAAGTCATTTAAAAACTAAATAAATATAAATTTACACTAGTAAATACATAGACTTAATGATGGGCTAAAAATCTGCGGATTTCTGTGCGCGCAGATTCTGTGTGGGCTTAGTTATTACTAATGTAATTTACTTTCCATTTATTTCAGAAACAGCATTTCAGCAAACCTTTGGTTTTAACAAACAAAACTGAGAACTTGTAGTTTTATTACAAATAAAATGAAGAAATAATCAGCTGAATAAAAATAAATAGTAAAATATTCAGTGCTGGGAAAATTCACTGTTATCCTACTGCTGTAGCTGATAACTCTAAATGTAGAAATCTAACACTATACATAGGACAGCCCAGATTTATTTTTAGTCTCATCTTCATTAATGATCCAGTTATTCACTCATTAATCTTCATGTTTCATTGCTGGATGATCAATGTTGAAGAATTATTCAGTGGCATATTTTTGACGGCTGGTTGTTGCCACCTGCTGATTAAATAATGTAATTGCTGCCTACAACTTTCATTTTTGAGCGTCAAGTGAAATGCATGACAGTGATTTTAATCTTTACCATAAACATCAGTGGTGTTATAAACTACAAACTGTTCTCCCAGCACTGCTGTGTTATTTGACTGTCACTTCATCACTAACTCAAAAGACCAAAGACTGAATCTCTTAGAATGAATAACATATGCAAATCAGCATCATTTATAATTGATGTTGCGTGGGTGTTGAGATCCTGATCTTTTACTGATTAATCGTGCAGCTTACACTGAATGCAGACTAAACAAGTAGTGACAGAAAACACTCATAATAAACTAAGAAACCCACCACATCCCCACATCAAGTCTAAATGCTTTCATATATGTGATTTGAATGGCGTGAGAGGCCATCTCATTGAAACTGTTATAAATTTAAGATTAATCTACCAATAAAAAATTGGTTCCGAAACCTGGGTTGTGATCCATTACACCCCCATAAGCCAAGGGTGTCCAAACTCAGTCCTGGTGGGTCGGTGTCCTGCAGATTTTAGCTCCAGCTTGCCTCAACACACCAGCAAGGATGTTTCTAGAAAGTCTACTAAGAGCTTGATTAGCTAGCCCAGGTGTGTCTGATTGGGGTTGGAACTAAACTTTGCAGGACACCGACCCTCCAGGACTGAGTTTGGACATGCCTGCCATAAGCGATATGGGTTTTGAATTGTCTACAGAACAAACTATACGTTTAGAAACAGAAATTGGGGGAAAATATACATAATTCTGAGCTCAACTGTTGATATATCTGTTGTATAGTGTTTTCACATGATGTTTTGCGCAGTGTAAGGTCAGGGTTTTGCAGTGTTTGTAACTGGCTGTAAATAATGCAGCAGAAGCTTCTGGAATGTGTTTATAGAGCTGACTAATGTGTGTTTGTGGAGTGTTTAAATGAACCTACTGTGAGCTGAAGTTGCTGAACCGGTCAGACGAGTGGCATTAATTTATGACACACACACACACACACCTGAGAGGGAGATTCAGGGCTGTTTGACGTCATGTTTGCTGCCCATATTCTCATGTGTAAATTCAGTGCTGATTCGGCTGAATGTGTGTGTGTGACGTGCTGAAATCAGCTGAAAGCAGCACAGATGCGGGTCACAGGTTCGACTGCAGGGAATGAAGGAATAATCCCTCAGTACAGAGCGAATGGCTGGATGGAAAGGGAAGGTTTCCTGCAGGGTTGCCAGGTTTTCACAACAAATAACCAGCACAATGACCAGACCCACATGGAATCTGTGTGGGCCAAAATCTGCAGATTTGTTTTTATCCCCTTTATGTTTTAGACCCATAATTGAGTCTGCATTTTACATGCTTGCCTTGCTTAAAGTTTGTGTCTTTTACAAGACTAAATATCTAAAAACTCTTACATCAAGAAGCATTCTCTAGACAAGTTAAAATATAGTCTTATTTTTAGACATAATCAGTCAAAATGAAGCGAGTTTTTTCCTTAAAACAAGTAAAAGAATCTGATTATGAGGGAAGAGAATAATCTTATGTCAAAAACAAGATGTTTTGACTATAATTCTGAGATATTTGGATTTCATTCATTCATTTTCTGTTTGGCTTAGTCCCTTTATTAATCTGGGGTCACCACAGCGGAATGAACCGCCAACATATCCAGCATGTTTTTCCAGCTGCAATCCATCTCTGGGAAACACTCATCTACACTCATACACTACAGACAATTTAGCCTACCCAATTCACCTGTACTGCATGTGTTTGACTGTGGGGGAAACCGGAGCACCCGGAGGAAACCCACACGAACGCAGGGAGAACATGCAAACTCCACACAGAAACACCAACTGACCCAGCCGAGGCTTGAACCAGCGACCTTCTTGCTGTGAGGTGACAGCACTACCTACTGCGCCACTGCGTCCCCATATTTAGATTACAAACGAGACAAAAACTCTAATAAAGCATTGCTGAAAAAAACGTAGACTTGGCAACCCTGTCCTCCAGTGTGAATGTGAGCATAATGTCAGCAGTAGTGAAATAAAGCTCGTAATGTTTGCGCTGATGTTTGTTTCAGGCTCTGCTGGAGTTCCTGAGGAAAGTGGTGGCGTGCGAGGAGAAGAACCGCATGAATGTGTGGAACGTCTCTATGATCGTGGCCCCAAATCTCTTCACTTACATAGGGAAAAACGCCAAACAGGAGGAGGTGAAGAGCGCCTTGGCTGCTGCTCAGATAGTGTGCACCCTCATCAGTCATCAGGACCTGCTGTGGACGGTGAGCGGCTACATTATGGGTCCAGCAACACAGACTTCTGTCTCATGGTTCAGTTTGGTTTTTGGGCAGTGTTGGGTGTAACGCATTACAGGTAACCACAGGTAAGTACTAATATGTCCTTTCTAAGTAAAGAATGAGCTGATGCGTTACCTTTAGTTGAGTTAATTAGCTTTTAAAAATGAAATAGCTGATCTACAATGAACATCGTCATGTTGAATCCGGCACTGGATGAGAGAATACAGAAACAGAAAGCAGGACGGCTCTGGCTTACATTTCTGCCATGATGGAGGTATTCTCATTATTCTGAACACATGAAGAAAAGGAAAAGAGGACTGCAGTGTCAGTGCACACTGATTATACCGCACTAATAAGACAAAAACAGCAAACAAACTGCTTTAAACTGTCATTAATGAGGCGTTTCAGCTGACTCGTGTAAGCGGTTTGCTCTTGATCATCATGTTTATTGTCGTTTTCTGTGTTTTTGCATGCACAGGTTCCGTGTTTTCTCATCAATCAAGTGAGAAAAATGAACGATGCTGCGATGGCCAAGAAATCTCTGAGCTTCGAGAGGAGCAAACGTGGACTTTTGAGTCGGTGGAAGGACCGCGAGCGCAGTGAAGTGAGTGATCGTAGGATTTAATCGTCAGATGAGGGGGCTAATACTTAATCACAATGATACAACTATTGCACACAAAATGAAATCTGTATTTGCATAATATCTGTGCGTGTACAATTATTACGTATAATGCACAAAAAACTGTGATTTTCAATTATTAATCAAGAATAATCGCATACAAAATAAGTTTGTATTTACATATGTGTATGTACATTATATATATATATATATATATATATATATATATATATATATATGCATATGTATTTCACCAAAATACAGAACCTATTTCTAAGTTTTTTGGGTAAGCAAGTATTTTTCAGTGCTTTAGAAATACTCAAAAATGCATCTGTCAGTGTTGTCTAACTATTCTATTTGATTTACCAAAGTCACACCAGTGGCCATTTCACATTGGTCACATCCATAACGAAGAGATGTCACATCCATAATGACACTTTTTCCTCATAAATGTGAAAATATTCAATAAAAATCAACCAGTTTTGTTTTATAAAGAGAACTCTTCTCCTTTTGATTATCATTCTTTCTTTTGGGTTGTGCAGTTTAATTCACAGAATTTCCACAAAGTATGTTGTATACTGTAAACCCGCAGACTTTTTTGTCACATCCATAACGCTTGTTTATTTTCCTCATTTAAAGTACAAAACATGTTTACAGATGGATATTTTTTCTGGTTTCTTAACTCTGTGGTCAGTTGTTCTGGAAAATATAAACAAACATTTCGATATGATGTTAACATACTTTCTATGCGAATTTATGTTTTGAGTTTTTACTGCATATGTCACATCCATAACGCTGGAATTGCTCATATCAAAATGCACACACACATACATTTGAAAAATATTTACATGTATATTGATATTATATATAATATTGTTATATTTTATGTATAAATATATACATTTAGCCTATATACATTTATACAAGGTTGTGTCTAAATATACATAATATACATACTCACAAAATTATGTAAATGCAAACTGATTTTGTGATTAACTGTTAAACAGCACTAAATGCACTATCATCAAGTCAATTTAAATATTTTTTAGTAAAATAAAGAAGATCAACTTATTTAATGACTGCATATAGTAAGTCATCTGAGGTAACATTGTATTCATATTGCAATTATTTTGCAGAAAAACGACAGATGTTGATTCATGATTATGAACCAAAACCTGAACATACATTATTAACGTTTTACTTCCAGAATATTTTTACCAGCAGGCCTACTAACATTTCTGATTATATCAAAATAATATAGAGTGTTATAACTGGCATACTAGGCAGCAGTATTGATATAACCGGTGAAGTACGCACTTAATAAGTACTAAGTTATAGCATCAAATCAATTGAATAGGTTTTTAGCATTTAATGAGCAGACTGCTATCTAATGATAAAAACTACTATACTACACCAGTACGTTATTATAGATTCTTAAACATATTTATTTATTCAGATATATTTGACTACAGCTCATCTCTGCGTCTGAAAGCACATTTTCACATGCTGTTCATAAAGGTTCAGCGGTTATTCATTGACGTCAATAAATACTCAGTTCCCCAGACGCGTTATAAAGGTTATTAACACGGTATTAAGCGTTATCTTTTGCGTCACTCGAGCACGTTTTGTGTGAAACGACCACTAAACATCTCTTAAATCAGTCAGTATGAGTCGGATTATCCATCATAAGAGAAAGAAAGTGATTAACCTAACATACCTGCGTTTGTCTGTAGTGTTTTCCTTCTTCAGAAAGGTCCGTTTCCTGCTGAATGTGGTGTATTTAGAGGTTATAACGTCCTCCAGGTGATTTAATATTCATATATTATATATGAATATTATATTCGTATAATATTCAGTGGGATAATACTCAGTCGCCGATGAGCCTTGTGAGATTGTTGATCTTTTAATGACTGTATCTGTTGTGAACGCCTTGTTTTCGTCTTTAATCAATCGCTTTTTAAATATAATCCGAATTAATGCGTGACTGATTTGTATTCATTTTGGCGCGAATCTGCTAGCGGAGTGTTACAGAAACGGTGAACAGTCCCAAAAGGAGGGCCGGTGTTGTGCCGCGAGAAACGCGCGCCTTTCATAGACTTTCATTAGCGTTACAAAAAAAATGAAAGGTCATAATTGATTAAATCGTAATATGATTATTATTTTAATGGATGAAGCAAGAACAGGAAGTGAAACGCATTTTAAAACGCATCAGGTTTAAAAATAAATAATACAAATATTGACTGTAGTGTGTGAAGACCGAGCACCTATGTAATGAGCCTGTTTGTAATATGAGGCTTTTTGGTGGGTTTTAAACAAACATTGGAACATGGAAAACATAAAACTGTTGTTGTTATTTTCGAATAAACCACAAATTAAACACTTCCATTCACTTATTCTCAGCTATACACACTCACCGGCCACTTTATTAGGTACACCTGTCCAGCTGCTCGTTAGTTGAATCTCTGCCACCAAGAATTAAGGGAGTTCTGAAGGCAAAGGGGTCCGACCCGGTACTAGTAAGGTGTACTTAAATAAGGAAGGGTTCCATTCATAAAACTATTATTAAGTTAATAGATGCACATTCGTTGAGAACTTAATGTTTTCAACATAAAAATAAAACAACTAAAAAGGTGTTCCCAAATTTTTGATCTCACAATTATGGCATTTAATTCAACAAAATAGTTTTATCTCACAATTCTTAAGTAAAACGGTAGAAAAACTTTATATAAACAATTCTGGAGGAAGTGATATTATAAGACTTATTGCGTTTCTTATTTGATGTCTTGCTATCTTGCGATTAAATTAAGCTAAAATGACAAACAAGGTTGCATTTAGGTTTTTATTCCATAGCAGAAACAGGCTATCACAATAACTGCCTGATTTATCAACAGTATTAATAATAATTCACATTCTCTCTCAGGTGAAGGATCTTCGTGACGGGGTCATCAGAGTTCATGCGCCGCTTCACGCCAAAGTTTCAATGGCGATTCAGCTGAGCACCGATATGAAAGCCAGAGACATCACTGCGCATTTTGACACAGAGAAAGGGTTAGTGAACGAAAAACACCATGGTTTAACGTATACCATCATATAACCTACGTTAACCAGTGAATGTGTTTGCAGACATGGATCGCGGAGTGGCGGTCGACGACAGAAACAGCTTCTGTTCGAGGTCGGAGGAAACATCGGTGAGCGCAATATTATTACATACGATACATTTACGATAAAGCAATACTAGGGGTGTGAATCACAGGTTAACTTACAATACAATACTATCACAATATTTTGTCGACAATAGTGATATAATAACAGAAGTTCTGAGACAGACGATATATCGCAAGCAAATCATCAACATTATATTTCGATATCTGTCAACTAAGATAGCATCAAAGAGTCACATGATGTGTTTTTTTTAACAGTAAATCTAATTTATTGAAGATTAACAATACATGTAAATAATAATGTATAGTAAATAATGTACATTTTTAACACCGAATGTAACTTTTAAGTATTCACGCAAGTAGATTAACGTGATAAATGTGTAAAAAGAACAGATAAACGTGTAAATAGATGCGAATTTCTGCATTTGCCACAGTCACGTCTTCCGCTCAAGTTAAAAAGTTCAATCCAAACTAAGTCAAAAAATATCCCGCGATTAATTTAGAGGGAGTGACGCAATCTTACACGTGGCGTAAACCTAGCAGAATAATTTATTGTAAGAAAAAGTTTATTGTGAAACGCACATGTAAAGTATTAGTTAACATTTAGCCATTATTACATTTTTATAAACACTGTATGTGCGCTAGATAAAAAGTACATACTGTAGTTAGTATCGTAATAAAACACTCACGCATTCATTGCTGTACATTTATTATGAAAGGTAAGGGTGAATTGAAAAACATCCCATAGAGCGCGTTCAGTGTTGAATTATGGATGGTTATTCAGTTGCTTACGTCACCGTTTCTTCCGGAGACGTATTGGTTACATTGTTTACTATGTTACATACACGCGAAAATATCGTCTTCGTAGTTCAGGGCTATTCAACTTGGCCCACGAGGCAATTTGATCCGGCCCTCCAAATAGTGTGACCAAAACATCAAAAATAATCTTAGTTAAGTCGAAAAAACGGCCGCTTTATTTATGAAGTTACGTGCGTCTGTTCAATATAGTACGAGCTGCAGTTGAAGGCCGCGCAGAGCGTGAGTCACCTGACATTAAGCGAATGGCGCGAGCAGCTGATAACATTTGTACACTTAATCATAAAAGCTTCTCAATGCCATATTTCTGTTGCACAGAATAAAACTGCTACAACTAAACAAAGTTACGCCACCTGTGCAAAAGTTAACAGTTCAGAGCTTATAGCTACACCAAGGCTAATACGCACTCTGGATTAACCATAGCAGCGGGCCATTCACATATCGCGTCTTTTCCACACGCAGGTTCGTTATTTTTAATATTACAATATATGCCAAGTCAAAGTTATAGCTACAAGTGATAATTTGCAGATTAGGGTTAAACAATATATCGTTTGAGCATCGATTTCGCAATGTGTGTATCCGCAATAGTGACATCGCAGGATTAGATTAAATATTATATTTAATATTATATTACATTATATTTTAATATTATTCAATGCTAAAATATAAATATATTGTTATATATTTTATTCATAGAATGATGACCATGTTATTTTAAATTTACTTTGTTATTTTTATTTATTATAAATTAATTTAATTTAATTTTTTGTTCTATTGTGTTATAAATATTATGTTATATATGATTTTATGAATTTATTATATGCATAGAAAAAGACTTGATCATCCCAGTCGATCTAATTTAATTAAATCTTCAGTCCCAATAGAGCTACTCAAATCATCTGGCGAGATTATATTCATATTACAGCAAAATAAACTATCGCAATGTCAGATTTTCCAATATCATGCAGCCCTAATACAGAAATATTTCAGTGTATATCACGGTGTGTAAATGATGTATTAATCGTTTGTTTTTGTTGACTGCAGGCGAGCGCTGCCTGGATCCAGACGCATATCTACTAGACGTTTACCACGCTAATCCTTACTGTCAATGGGTGTTAAAGTGAAAACCTGAGACGCACTGAACACACACGTGTTTACTCAAACCCAGAGACCCTCAGGTCTTATTAGGATTCACACTGAGATGCTCAATGCTGGTCATTGAGCCTGTGTGTGTGTGTGTGTGTGAGAGCGCATGTTTCATCACTTTAGCCAGTGTAAAAACACAAAAATAGCATGTACATAACATATTTATAGCACTAATTTATCCAGCTGTAGCATAATTCTTTTGTATTGTTCATATGCGCTGCATGTCTGAGATGAAGCCGTGGGAATTAAAACACTACAAACCCTGTGAAGAACAAGAGCGGACTGTAATCACACCAAAATCACATTATTATTTATGAAAGGAGAAGATATCTCAGATTATGTGCATTATTATTAGTGTGTGATTTACTGAAATGGAGAATGTTTAAGTTCAGTTTTTATAGTTAAGATGTAGATTTTGTTTTTAATACTGTGAATTTGTGTTTAATTCTCCATTAATTCCTCCAGTTTATTATTTACACAATTTAAAGACCAGTGATCTTGGTGTGAATTATGAGCTGTTCTTGTCCGCTGATCTGCACGGGGGATTATTACCTCTAATTAAACCAGATGAATATTAACGCCATCGTCATCAAACACTAACGGGATTAATGAAGGACTTCCGGATTATTCATATTTATGAACAACGTGACACTTATGCGAGATGGAATGAAGCCAAATGACTTGTGAAGGACATTTATGCACAGTTTTACTTTATAACTCGTCATCTTCTCTGCCAATGATCTCTGATGCTCTGATTTTTCTGATTTTTTTACTTCATTTGGAGGCTGATTTTACTGTTTGTTGATTTTTTTATGACTTTTTTATGACGTTTATACTGGATTTGTTTCCTCGTGGAAGTCTTTTTGTTGTTTGTCATGCTGAATGTGTTTGATCATACTGAGAATGTGCATCTTTACGTTATTTAAAGCCATGAGAACATGTTTTATTTTCAGTTTCACTGAAACCGAAATGTGTCAAACATGAGTATTAAGAAGAACAAATAGCCATGTCATGATGCCGGATGTGAGAAATCTACCACTGAGCTACTGTCTGTGCTGTAATACAGAGTGCAACAGCAGGCCATGATGAAAGAATGCCATTAAAGCACATGAAATCCCCATTGTTATGCAAGATTTGTCTGTGTGTAACCCTGCCGGTCCAACACCACCCAACCCGCTCTGAGCTGGGATTGAACCAACGACTTTCTGCATGGGAGTCGGTTGCTCTATCAAGGAGGTCAGAGGAGTGATTTACCTGCACAGCATTTCACTAGCTGACCTCTGCTGACCTGTGTGTGTGTGTGTGTGTGTGTGTGTGTGTTTGTTTGTTTGTGTTTGTTTGGATATCAGCATTCAGGAATGTTCCAGATAGAGGAAGAATGTTGATGAGGCGGAGATGTTAAACTCTCGACTAAGAAACAAGCTGTATTTTATTAACAGGACTCAAGTGTAAACTGTCTAACAAGTCTGGATTATTCTATTCTAGAAGTCTTCACTAAAGAGAAGAAGAAACGATCTGATCTACATCACACACACACACACACACACACACACACACACACACACACACACACACACACACACACACACACACACACACACTGTAAATGATTGTGTGTTCCCTCATCAGTGTGCAGTATATTATCAGTGTTCACTCAGTAGACAACACTCGTGTGTGTTGAAGTGTGCATGTTTAGGGGTGGGTGTGTATGTGTGTGTGTTGAAGTGTGCATGTTTGGTGGTGTGTGTGTGTGTGTGTTTGGTGGTTGTGTGTGTATTGAAGTGTGCATGTTTAGGTGTGTGTGTGTGTGTGTGTGTGTGTGTTTGGTGGTTGTGTGTGTGTTGAAGTGTGCATGTTTAGGTGTGTGTGTGTGTGTATTGAAGTGTGCATGTTTAGGTGTGTGTGTGTGTGTGTGTGTGTGTGTGTGTTTGGTGGTTGTGTGTGTGTTGAAGTGTGCATGTTTAGGTGTGTGTGTGTGTGTGTGTGTGTGTTTGGTGGTTGTGTGTGTATTGAAGTGTGCATGTTTAGGGGTGTGTGTGTGTGTGTGTTTGGTGGTTGTGTGTGTGTTGAAGTGTGCATGTTTAGGTGTGTGTGTGTGTTTGGTGGTTGTGTGTGTGTTGAAGTGTGCATGTTTAGGGGTGTGTGTGTGTGTGTGTTGAAGTGTGTATTTTTGGGTGTGTGTTTTGGAATGTGCATGTGTTGGAGCGCGTTGGTGTGTGTGTGTTTGAGTGTGCATGTTGCAATGTGCATGTGTGTGTGTTTGTGTGTGGGGAGATGTGTGTTAGAGTGTGCATTTGTGTGTTGCAAAGTGTGCATGTATTTGGGAGGTGTATGTTGAACTGTGTGTGTGTGTGTGTGTGTGTCAGTGTGCGCCAGTAGTTGTGTTCTGACAGTTGCAGTAGTGTGTCTCCTGAATGTGTTCAGTCTTCATGAAAACAGATTTTGTCCCCAGAGCTGAAGGTAAAATCACTGATATATTTAGTTTCTGCTGGTAAAATGTGTCATTAGTGAGCCGTAAACACACAGGAGGGCTGATATCTCTACAGGTACAGCTGTTGTGTGTGTTTACGCAGGGCAGGAGTGAGGGGAAACGTGCAGGAGTGTGAACGCAGAGCTGAAGTCCAGCACATCGGTGATGTGACCCTTAAACACTCGCAGATTCCTCATACATCCACGAAACGACTGCCTGACGCTCAGACAATTCTGCTTTACATCCGCTGAGAGAGAGAGAGAACACACACACACACACACTGTCAGTCAGAGATAACACATCAAATGCTCTGACACAGTCATGCTGATATTGTTCTTTCTGTGAAGAACAGATGACTGTGTGGAAATAATAATACTAGTAATATACATAAATAATGCAGAAATGCGTCATGTCATTATTAATTAAATTAATATCTAAAGAGTGATGTTATTAAAATGCCACTAAAATATAATACTACTAATATAATAAGAAAATTAGAAATTGAAATTGACTTAAAAAACAGAATAAATAATAATTTAAAATATTTAAAATACTATTATAGTAATAATTTACTAATTTAATATACTCTAATAATTTAAAAAGTATTTAATTTAAAAATCATCAGGGATATCAGAGAACAATTAAAATTTAATGTTTACATAATAATAATAATAATAATAATAATAAAATATAAATGTATTATGTAATAAAATTATTAATCTAAATTTTATTTTTTATAAAACTACCACAAATATTTAATATATAATAAGAATATATGACATATATATATAATATGACACGGAAATAATATTAATAGTAATAATTTACCCATTTAAAATAATCAAATTTAATAATTTAAAAGTCATTTATTTAAAAATCAGTACAATTAAAATGTAATGTTTACTTATAATAATAATGATATACATAAATAATACATGCATGAATAATGTAATGGAAATAATTAGCTAAATAGTACTGCTAAACAGACTATTTTATAGAATATTTTAATTTAATTTATAGTTTAAATATTCTTAATTTGTCATTTGTGGTTGTTTTATTGGTGTGTCAATATCTGTTTACTGATGATGTTAAAATTAATTATTGTTATTATAAATACAATTTTTTAAAATTCAATTAGTGTTATAGTATTATTTTTAAGTATATTTTTGTTATTGTAATGTTGTTTAGTATCACAGAACACACTCAAAAATACTATAATAACAAGAGTTTATTTTAAAATCATCAGTAAACAATCTAAATTAAATGTTTTAAATACCTCTTTTTTATATACAGTACATAGATAAATATATTTAGTGAAATTTACTTTCAGCATATGAGCGAAAAACACATCTACAACCAAAGTTTTTGATTTAACAAGCCTCAATTGGATCAGTTCTCCAGTCAGAGCTACAGATGCGCGCAGTATTCTGGGGCAGTACCTGGATGTCCTCCCACATATATGGGGTTTTTGGTCTCTGCGGATGTGGAGGAGGAGTGCGGGTTTTCCGTGTTCACCGTCACACCGTCCACCGTTAAACTCAAGCTGTGCTTCTGCTTTTTGGCCACTAGAGTGCGCCAGCGTCCGTCACACATGGATACGCTGCTCCTGCTGCTCACCGAGATGCGGCCCGCACCGTTATTCACATTAAACACCACCTGAGATGAGGAGAAACACGTTATTCAACACCATCAATGTGTGTTTATTGATCATGCCCATTAATTTTTATTAATACTGATAATCGGGCTGATAAACTTAATTCTGAGATAAAAACCTGCTGGATCTACTTTACGTTTTTAGAAAAAAATCGCATTTTGATAAATGGAAACTAAAATTTAATGCGACAAACAAAAATGTAAAATGACAATTAATAATAAAAATAAAAACACAAATTTCCTGACTTTCAATGTGTGGAAAAACCTTTTAAACCTCCAGAAATGAATGACCCGTGGTGGGAACGCTGTTTATTGGACACTGTAGAGCGAACACTGACCTGTCCGTTGAGCAGCTCCAGGCCGATGGCGTCCACTTTAGTGCTGCTGATTCCTAATAAAACACCATCCGGCGCCGTGGAGCGGAACTCCAGACTCACCGTCACGTCTGAGCCCACATTATAGCCCTCTTTCACTGCAGGAAAACACACACACACACACACACATTCAAGATCTGAAAGCACTCTTATTTTGAATGAAAGCACGGCATGTCTAATTCTCTTCTTTCATTAGTTTACTGTCTATAAAGTGTACTGTCTCCATTCAATGAACAGAGGTATGTAATTTTACCCCTGTTAATTTAGATAGGTCAGCTGCTGATTTTCTATGATGATCTATTTGTGAAAAGTAATACGATTACAGAATCAAGAAGTGTCTATTGTGTAAACTGGATTGTTTAATAAATATGTATTTTACCGCCCTGATTAATATGCATATGTTATTTATCAGTAATATAAGATTGATCTGCTTAATTTTACACATCAGAAAGCTCCTCATATTATGTATATTATTATTAATTTCATTTTAATTTTGTTACTAGTTAAAATGTACAACACTCAGTGTAGCGAATGAAGTGGAGGTGCGCACACTGTCTAATACTGCACTCTTCAAACTCTAAGCCAAGTTCCTCTTCCAGGCGCTGATAGCTTTAATGTTATGAGAGTTATCCTTTGACAAGATGATTGCATATATCAGACATGACCCCACTCATATGAACATTCAGTTTAAATATCTCCTCCCATGGAGACCCTGTAGGCAGGGAGGGTGCATTAGTTTTTTAATAGGAATACATAGTACATCAAGTTCAAGTAAGCGCAACGCAGTGGCACAGTAGTTAGTGCTGTGTCCTCACAGCAAGAAGGTCGCTGGTTCGAGTCTCGGCTGGGTCAGTTGGTGTTTCTGTGTGGAGTTTGAATGTTCTCCCTGCGTTTGTGTGGGTTTCCTCCGGGTGCTCCGGTTTCCCCCACAGTCCAAACACATGTGGTACAGGGGAATTGGGTTGGCTAAATTGGCCATAGTGTATGTATGTGTGCGCATGAGTGTGTATGGGTGTTTCCCAGTGATGGGTTGCAGCTGGAAGGGCATCTGCTGCGTAAAACATATGCTGGATAAGATTTATATTTACACAGTAATATTTCCATTTACCTCAACTTCATTAATTTTTCTTTTCAGTTTAGTCCCTTTATTGATCCGGGGTCGCCACAGCGGAATGAACCGCCAACTTCAAAAATCAAATGATGTGACACTAAAAGTGGTTTGATTTTTGAAGTTGGCGGTTCATTCCGCTGTGGCGACCTTGGATTAATAAAGGGACTGAACCCAAAAAGAAAATGAATGAAGTTGAAGTAAATAGAAATATTTCTGTGTAAATATAAATCTTTATAAAAATATTTACTTTCATTTTTATTTAGATTTTTTTTACATTTAAATAAAAATCAATTGTGTTTCAAGTAACAAAAATGGTTTTGATAGTGTTTTTAATTTCAGTGTACGCTGAGATTTCTGCTTGGTGTTCAACATGAACTCTGCTTACTGAAAGCTGCGTATCCGCTGCCGTTGAAGAACGTGCCGTCCTGAGCGTTGCTAAAGCAGAAACCGGTGGCGTGAGATGACAGCGGATTATTCAGGTTCATTGAAACACCGTTAAACGTCAGATCCTGCACACACGCCGCCACACTGTGGGTCACCTGAGGACACAACACAGCAAAGCACTGTGAGGGGTGCACTGATGAGGAATACATAACCCATATCAATAACTGATAACCAGAGGCAGACAGAATGCCACTATACTTCTGTTGTTTCCTTAAAACTTTCATTCTTTTAAAGCCTTTTATTCTGTTTTAATCAGTTTTTGTTCATGTAAATTACTTTGAATGGCCATTGTGTATGAAATGTGCTCTAGAAATAAACTGATTTTATTTTTCAATCTTCACTTCAGAAAGGTTTTTGATCTCTGAACTTTATTAATCAACTATTTTTTATGAGCAAATTTATTTAACATGGATAAAACACACTGCCTGACACAAAAAATCAAGTAACTGAACATTAACCAGAATCTGAATGCCAATAAAACAATAAAGCAGATGTGGGCAGCAAGCATGCGAAGTGAGAGCAGTAGAATTGATCAGTTTACAGATATCAGCCTAATATTGTTATTAAACCAAAAACAATAACATTAAAATGAGCACTGATTAGCTCATTAGGATATGATGATATATTGTGCATTTCTTCTTTCATTGAGGGAGAAATGATATATGTTTAATTATGTTAATAATAATACAATTATTAAATATAAAATATAATAATAGATAATAATTAAAATACTTACGTTTCCGATTCTCTTGGCGGTGTATGTGGGAGGAAGTCCACCGACGTACAACTTCCCCTCGACGTCTAGTGTGTGTCCTTTAGTAGAGATGTGGTCAGATTCAATCCCGTCCACACTGACCACAACAGTCTTCTTACTGAACTCGGCCTTCACCTGAACACACACACACACACACACACACACACACACACACACTGTTATTCATTATTCACACATGCCTGTGTTTTTTCCAGAACCTTTCATTTCTCCGTTCCTCAGTGGTGGAATGATCTTCTAAAGCCTCCAAAACATCTCCAATCTTTTGAGGAAAGCTGATTTCCTCTGCTGTTAATTAGCATATAATCATGGTTCATCTCGAAACATTATTTCTTATTTAGCATATGGTCATGCGCTGCAAAAAATGCTTTTCTTACTTAGAGTTTTAGTCTTGTTTCTAATCCAAATATCTACAGGTTCTTAAATAAAGAAGCATTTTCTAGACAAGAATAAAATATAGTATTGTTTTCAAAAATACCTGTCGACCCTTCCATTTTTCCTGGGATTCTCCCGTACTTTACAGTTCTATCCCGCTATCATACCGTAAAGGTATTTCTCCTGTATTTTCAGTATTTCTCTGAAGGGTGGCAAATAAACATTAAAGAGCCGATCCTGCCTATACGCAACCCATACCACCGAAACACCAGGGGCCGCCCCTGCTCGTAAATGCGAGTCTGTTCTGTGTTTTCGCTTTATATAGGCATAAAAACACTTAGAAATAAATATAAAAATGGCGAGATTTCCTTTCCTTTTCATTACAGGTGCCGACTCCCCTTCATATGCAATACTCAATACAGTCATATAGCGGTGCGTGACTGTCAGCTGACGTGCTCCATAGTGATGAACACATGATGTTTCTCAAACTGATTCTGCACATGCGATTTAAAGCGGAGCAAAAGTCTGGGTTTTGGGTGCGTGTTTAAACAGACATATACAGATAATTAATAATAATAACATCTAAAGATGTCGATCTTGGTGGGGTTTTTTTTCCAAACACAACTAATTTTATGCTAAATGAGCATGAACAAGCAATCGAATGCTTTCATTATAACGTTAGATCTGTGTATTCATAAAGTGACACCTGTTATTTAATGTAATCAAACGAAAAATCCAATTAAATGAGATTCATTAGTTGCTCTTTAATCAGCATGTGTAGGTTATACAGTGGAGAAACGGCTAATGAGATTTAATAGCTTGACCCGGTTTCATTATAACAGCTATTCATTTTAATAAGCTGAACTGTTTGCTAATGTATTTGCTGTTATTGTATAGACCTACCGTTTATTTTTTCTTTTGTAAATAATAATAATAATAAAACATATTACTGACCATTTAACTGTTTATTTACAATAGAACAGCTCCAAAAAACATATTTAGTCATTTGTGTTTTCATGGTAATTCCTTAATGCCTTATTTTCACATCCCAATGTTGACAGGTATGTGAGTCTAAATTAAGTGAATTTAATCTTAAAACAAGCAAAATAATCTGCCAATGGGGAAAGCGAAATAATTTTATTTCAAAGCGAAGACAAGATTATTCTGCTTCCTCTATTGTCAGATTCCTTTGCTTGTTTTACTCAGAGTATATACGGGAATCAGAGATTGAAAATTCAACACCTTTTCAGACCTTTTTTAAGACTCTTTGAGACCTCATCACCACTTCAGGTTTCAATCAATAACATTGGCGGCATTTTAACTTGCAGTATATTCACTAAATACTGATGGCAAGAAGTGAATCCTTACCTAAAACTATATTTATATACTGAATAAAAATGTTAATCCACTTTTACAACAGCAGGAGTAACAGTGTTTGCCTGGTTACTGCAGTAAACACAGCAGCGTGACGTCACATCTAGCAGGATTTGTTTGAGCATCTTAATATTCAACGATTAAATTCAGGCAGAACTTCAGCATCAGGATACAAGATTTAATACCCTGTAAAACAGCATTCAAGACTTTTTAAGGGCCCTAAATTTCCCCGTGGACACCCTGATCATGTAAAGCTCTCTTCATTTTGACTCATTATTTCTGAAAACAAGACTATATTTTCTGCATGTCTGGATAATGCTTCTTGATTTAGGAGTGCAGTGTGTTTGAATGTGTGTGCTGCTGAACTGACCGTGTGCCAGCGTCCATCACTGATGGTGTTTTTGAGCGTGGCGCTGGCCGCTCCTTTGCCCAGGTCACAGGACAGATGCAGTCGTCCGGCCTGCAGCTGCAGAACTGCGTAATCCTGCTGGTTTGTGTTCGCCATGTAGAACAGAACGCCGCTGTGAGCAAACGTGCGCACCGACAGCTTCACTGCAAAACTGAGAATAGAAACACAATCAAACATGTCTTTATTAGTGCGGATGTACAAGAGCAGCGGTGTCTTCTTTTTAAAATATCCCTCAGATGATGTTGAACAGATTGAGGAAATTTTCACAGTATGTCTGAAAATGCTTTTTCTTCTGGAGAAAGTCTGATTTGTTTTATTGCGGCTAGAATAAAAGCAGTTTTTAATTTTTTAAACACCATTTTAAGGTCAATATTATTAGCCCCTTTAAGCTATATATTTTTCTCGATAGTCTACAGAATAAACCATCATTATATGATAACTTTCCTAATTACCCTAACCTGCGTAGTAAACCTAATTACCCTAGTGAAGCCTTTACATACACTTTAAGCTGTATAGAAGTGTCTTGAAGAATATCTAGTCTAATATTATTTACTGTCATCATGACAAAGAGAAAATAAATCAGTTATTAGAGATGAGTTATTAACACTGTTATGATTAGAAATGTGCTGGAGAAATCTGTTCTCTGATACACAGAAATTGGGGAAAAAATAAACAGGGGGTGAATAATTCTGACCTCAACTGTATGTGTGTGTCTATACCCGAAATACCCCAGCGGAGGAAATATAGATATGAAAATGTAATTGATTGAACACTGAAAAATAGTAATTACATATAAAATATATACAGTATATACAAACAAACTAGAACATGTAAATGTATATTTAATATTGTATATATTGTTTCTGTTTTATATTGTTATTTTTTATATATTTTATGGATCAGTCTTTTTTATGGTCCATTTCGATCCATCATCATATCTATCGATATAAAAAATGTCAACAAAAAGAAAATACAGAAATTAAATAGAAATATTAAAATTATGAAAACGTTTATATATATATATATATATATATATATATATATATATATATATATATATATATATATGTATTTCTATTTATTTTTATAAATATATATATATAGAGAGAAAAAAAGTAAAAAATATAAACAAATTAATTAAATGAAAAATAAAACTTTATACAGTATGGAATCCAATGGTATCAGACTTTGAAAAAGGCCTAACACCTCCCCCAAACTAAAACTAATAGAAGTCTATACTTATAAGCATAATTCAATCAAACTCAAAGTGTAAACATTACTGTTAAATACTTTCTCATTCAAAACTCTGTACTCTGTGACTATGTAAATATTTTATTTAGTATTAATTTATGAAAAAAAAAAAAAAAAAAAAAAAAAAAAAAAATATATATATATATATATATATATATATATATATATATTACAATTTTTATTCATTGTTTATTTATTTATTTACTTTTTTTTGAAGGGGAGGAGATTGTTCA